CCATATTGAGAAATATTTTAGTGTTATTATAAGATTTGTAACTGCTTTGCTAGTTTCCAGAAAAAAAAATGTTTTTATAGCACACTATTCAACTTCAAGGGATGTAAAATATAAAATGAGTTCTTTTTACTTTCTTTATAATAGAGTTGTGAAAGTTGCCTTACGGCCGGCGCCGCGGCTCACTAGGCTAATCCTCCGCCTTGCGGTGCCGGCACACTGGGTTCTAGTCCTGGTCTGGGCGCTGGATTCTGTCCCGGTTGCCCCTCTTCCAGGCCAGCTCTCTGCTGTGGCCAGGGAGTGCAGTGGAGGATGGCCCAAGTGCTTGGGCCCTGCACCCCATGGGAGACCAGGAGAAACACCTGGCTCCTGGCTTTGGATCAGCAGGGTGCGCAGGGCACAGCGCGCCGGCCGCAGCAGCCATTGGAGGGTGAACCAATGGCAAAGGAAGACCTTTCTCTCTGTCTCTCTCTCTCTCTCCCTGTCCACTCTGCCTGAAAAAAAAAAAAAAAAAAAAAAGAAAGTTGCCTTACATCAGGTTTTCTTTTTCATTTGTTCCTTATCCATTATCCATGCAATAATTGTTTTTGGTTTAAGGGCTACCTCCACCCACTGTTCTGGTCTTATTTTTGTTAGTCTGTTAACTTAAATAACAACAGCTAGCTGACTGCTTCCCATTCAGAACAGAACAGCCAACGTGTATGTGTTTCTCCAGGAAGATAGAGTCCCTGCGATGGTGCCAAAGCCCTGTGAACATACTGTTTGTTTGGCAGTTGAGGCAGACTAGAGGACCTTCCCTTAAGTCCTTAAGATTGTATTTCTACTACACAACTGCGCAGGAAACAGAGGCGTGCTTCTCTGATGATCAAGCCATTGTCACCAGAGTTTGCTTCAAACCAACCCACGCCATATGACATCCCCTGCACTGGGAAAAAGTAGCCGCAGTATCTTACCTGTATTAGGCTCTGGAGGGAGAAAAAAGCATCCCAAGGATGTGTTCCTCTAAAAATTACTTTCCCTAACTTCACCTTTGCCACCTTTGCTGGAGAAGAAATAGTTCTGTTCTGAAGCAAAAGGTGAACATCACAAAAGCATTCTACATTTGCTTCTCTTGATTTAGAGAACTAATTAATAAGGACTGACTTCATCCTGCCAGTTTTGATTGACTAAAATGTCCTTTAATAATCAAGTTTTCTATTAATATCTTACCGTGTAAAAGGAGCTGAAATCAATATATAATTTAATAACTCTGCCTGTCAGGGGTATTATTGATTCTCTAATGATTCTAAAATGATATGCCATTATGCAAATTATATCTATTTTAGATGCCTTTGCCAGGTACTTACAGAAGTTCTTTTATCTTTTTTTCATCTTTGATTTCCCGGTATCACAGTTATCAAATACTAAAATATTTTCTGAGGATTATGATCCTAGTGAATATTGATAGTCCAATGATAAATTGTAAATGTCTATCTTATTACACAAATATATAGAGCTACATAACTATATTTCTCAAATTCATCAGCTACCCAGAGTATAGAAAATAAAGTTATTATAGCAACAGATGGTTATAGTCTCTGGTGTTTACCAGGGATAAAAACAATATGGAGCCGGCGCCGTGGCTCAATAGGCTAATCCTCCACCTTGCGGCGCCGGCACACCGGGTTCTAGTCCCGGTTGGGGCGCCGGATTCTGTCCCGGTTGCCCCTCTTCCAGGCCAGCTCTCTGCTATGGCCAGGGAGAGCAGTGGAGGATGGCCCAGGTGCTTGGGCCCTGCACCCCATGGGAGACCAGGAAAAGCACCTGGATCCTGGCTCCTGCCATCGGATCAGCGCGGTGCGCCGGCTGCAGCGGCGGCCATTGGAGGGTGAACCAACGGCAAAGGAAGACCTTTCTCTCTCTGTCTCTCTCTCTCACTGTCCACTCTGCCTATCAAAAAAATAAATAAATAAAAAATAAATAAATAAAAAAAAAACAATATGTTGTTTCTGTATTTTTGGGACTAAGTTGTCATATTGCCCTATGGAAATTAAACTGGTACCTTTTCTGCACAAACACTAACCTCATTAGAAAGACTACTTCAAACCATCCCCCACTGTCTGTCTTTATTTCAACAATCTAATACATTGTGTGATGAGATGCAGGCTTGGTTGGAAAAACAGGATGGGGAAATATGAAGTCAAATGTCTAGAAGTAACAAGATTATTGCCACCTGAGTCTCCTGCAATGGAGGGAGGGGTTCTGGTTCCACGTATTCCACCTTAAAATGCATGGATAAAGCATGCTGGGCCATCAAGTCCGGAAGACCCTAGCATGGCATTTTCAATGTCTGTCACGTTTTCCCGTCCTTGGTCTCACGATGCTGGTGACTTTAGCAGAGATGTACAACTATAAGATCACATGCCTGTAAGATTGAAATTAATATCAAAGGGCATAAGTTTTGGTGACAAAAAAGGAGAGACATTTGGTGGGGTTTTATAGGCTAAGTTTTGTCTAAATTATAACATCAACTCAGTTCTAAAATAGAAAGTGCATATATCATCATACCTTATGTCTGTCCTCTTTGGCTTTCTCTAATATTTTCTTTATTTTTTGGATACAGAGGAATAGCTAACCTTCCCTTTTAATCAGAGCAGGTTGATATTTTTACAAATATTAAGTACATAGGTGAAAAACAACATCATTCTAAAAGTTACTCAGGAACTGATGACTAGATACATACAATTAGACTTTATCATACTTATCCTAGAATACTTATCCTAGAAGAGTCATTGTTGATTTAGTAGTTGATAGTTATCATTACTGCCTCAGTCGATGGGGAAAGAACCAAGGTAGAAAGAGCACTTTCATGAGCTCCTACTGCTCAGGAGTGAGAAGTGGGGATGTGGGTATCATGCAGGAATGTTTTTTTAACTGAGGTACAGAGGGTATGTTATGGGCTCCAAAGGACCAGAATGAACATCTGATGTCATTTCTATAAGGCTAAGCCAGGAAAGCAAGACTTAGGCATTTGGCACGAGAGGCTGGAAAATTTAGAAAATTAAAAGCAAGTTTCACCAGTGCCACATTTGTACTGGAGAGGAATACAGCCTCTCTTTGCCATACATAGGTCTAAGTGAAACCAGGTGACTTTGATCAATAAAATAAAAAAAAGATTATGAAGCAATTTATTTGCAGAAAACCTAGAAAACTCTACTAAAATTAAAGAATGCCCATGCCATGAAAGCTTTGTGTCTATAAAAATATTTTCAGGAAGCTTTACTTTAAAATGGTGTTAGCTAATGTTATTAAAATAATTTTCAAAGACAAATCAGTGGCTAGGGGGCTCTGAATAAGTAATATTCATCCATGAGATACTTAAGCCCCTTAAAAGGCAATATTAGATTGATTTATTTTCAGAGACATCTAGAGTGCTTACAAGAAGTTAGGATTTGCATAATATTTGCATTTGTCCTTCCTGCTGTCAGTCATTCACAGCCATAGGACTGTAGGGCAAGAGCTGCTGAAGGTTGGATTATAGGAATGATTCTTGTTGAAATATATTGCTGTGTCAGTGAAGTTTGAAAGTGGTGAGACTGGCATATTTAGTGAAAGTTCAAACTTACCTTCAGGGAGGGAAGAAAATAACCACAACGTAATGACTCTCTCCAGTTGACACCCCACTTTGAAAATAGCTGCTTCAAGGCCACAAATTCCAGCTTTAGACAGGCAAATAAAGCATGAAGAACTTCCTATTCAGTCTAGGAGGAAGATCTTATCAACATGAATAAGAGTTGAATTCTAAGATGTTGGGTAGGGTAACATAAAAGGCTTCTTGTTTCTTTTGTGATTTGTATACATTTATTAATTAAATGTTATAACAAAAACATGATGTTTGGAAATACACTAAAACACAAAGAGGGGAAAAAATGGCCCATAAGCTTTTCACTCAGGTAAACGCTGTTAATATATTGCTTTGTTCTAAAAGAGTGAATTCCAAGGTACAGCTCAGACATCAGCCGATGAATAAGTCTTTTACCAAATAATGTGTTTTTCTTTTCTTATTAGTGTGCTCCATGTTACTCTGCTTTTCTGCCTAATGATGATGATGATGATGATGAACCTGTTGCTATTGAGTGCTATACTTGGTCCAAAATAATTGTATGACCCCAAGCAGGAGTGCTTTGCACTGTGTGACCTGTCCAATCTTTCAGAACTGTATTTCCATTCTTGAAGGGAAAACACACTACAAAAGTGTCTCAATTGCTGTATGTCTAGAAGTGCAACTGGTTCACGTTGCTTTCCTCTTCTCTGTGTTCCTTGTCTTCCCTCTTCCTCCTTTTCGTCAATTTCTATTCTTCTCTGTTTCAGCAAAACAATATCAGTCAAGGTAATTGATGATGAGGAATATGAGAAAAACAAGACCTTCTTCCTTGAGATTGGAGAGCCCCGCCTGGTGGAGATGAGTGAGAAGAAAGGTGGGGGAGCTGCTCCAGGGCGGAGCCCAACAGCTTCTGCTGGCCTGTGCCACCCCTGGATGCCTGCACTCTTCAGAACATGACTTAACAATGCACACATGCCTCCACCTATGTAACAGGGCATAGGTCTCACCCGGGGCCCCAGTGGGCCATGCCTGTAGCCATAGCAGCCAGTTTTCACCCATCTGCATATTACAGGTCTGAGAGATTAATTTTCAGCACAATCAAGCCTCTGTTTCTGAGAACACTGGGGCAGATGCTATGCAATTTCAAAATTAAGCCAACTGTTTGATTTACCTTCGCAATTTGAGGTACTACCTGACTGCGAACCGAAGCGGCAGGAGTTGTTGAGAGTGATAAATTGGCAAAGGAAGCCTAACAGAGGCCAGCTGAAAGTACCCAAGATGCCCTTTTACATACGTCAGGAGGCCCATGTGCTGCCAGTTCTCCCTCCATAACATCACAGTAACATTCGGCTTGGTGGACACCTAAGCATGAGTGTGTGACTCCAACCATTTGTTTTGCCTTTGTCTTGTGTTCCCACAGGAAGATCATTACCATTAGAATATTTGACCGTGAGGAATATGAGAAAGAGTGCAGTTTCTCCCTTGTGCTTGAGGAACCAAAATGGATAAGAAGAGGAATGAAAGGTGTGAGAGTATACAAAGACATACCAGCGAGAAATTGTACTCTTCTCTCTCCGTGTCTCCCTACTCTCACACTTAACTCTCTCCTCTTCCTTGGCTTCCAAATACTATACTTCATTGCCTTTGAAGCTTTAGTGGTTTCATTTCCCTTCCCAAATTGACAAGTGCACCAATCAACTAACCTTGCCACCTGATTTAATAAATATTGGAACAGATTGCAATAATCCTGAATGATGATATTAAAGAATGTATTTAGATATTAAGTTAGATATTAAAGAATGTACTTAGTTTTCATTGCTTGGGGTCCATTCTAAAATGTGGCTCCAATTAGTAAGTTTCCTCTAAAAACATAAGTGATAAATACTATTGCATAGCTTGTCAATAAAACCTCAATAACAACTGGAAGAAAAAAACCTGCTTAGTATATGTTTGTAGTAGTGGACAGGCCTGAGAGCAACTAATGGGAAAATTCAGAATTCAATAATTAGGATTCTTTAGAGAAACCAGGTTTTTTTTTTTAAAATGAGTAAGAACAAAGATCCTTAAAGAATAGTGTTATCAATATTTTCATGCTCATTTGGTATGACAAATATAGCATTTAAAAGGTACCACATTCAAGTATATGAAACCATAGTCATATCAGTTTTCTTTAGTTGAAAGGATACGGTCCTTCGGTAAGAATTCAATGCTTACTTAAGACCTATCCAGGTATATGTCCCAAAATCTTTTGACCCTTATAGAATTAATGACTTTTTAATATACCTAGTAATAAACAGTATCTTTATAACTAGGTTTTATCAACTTGTCTTTATATTTCTAGAAATGTTTGAACAAAGAAGGTAATTTTCTTTAATGTTTTTATTCCATACCTATTTTATATAGTTTGCATTAAATAAAGATATGAATCAATTATAGGTATATCAATTATATATCAATTATAGGTAGTTTTTATTACTAGGGTTTCCTATTACAATTCTCTGATAGTGGCTATTTAAAAAGGAATCTTATTGATCTAACTATATATGTAAAACACACATGCCACGTATGAATAGCTCTTATTAATTGCATGAAAACAATTGTTAAGAGAAGATGACTGGATAAATCACTTTGCAAGAAATTTATACATTTATATGTACAAATAAAATAGCATTAATTCCTATATAGACCCAGCATTTTGGGGAAGCCCCATATTTATAAGAACTCATTGACCTCAGAATTCATTCCCAAAAAAAGTTTCTGTTCCTGATTTAATCAAGTTCAGATTGGTGACAGGAGCCTTTGGAGTACTGGAAAAAGGAGCACTTAGGACCTATGTTAATGCAGCCTATCTAAAATGCTCCATGGGCAGGATACAGAAGAAAAACAAATTCAGAAAATTGTGCTGATATCTTACAAAGATGGGATCAAAAATGCCTCATTAGCGCACAAGCAAAAGCACTTACTCCTAAATGTACTCCCACAAAGCACTGTCTTTTATCTCAAGGAAGTGTGTCTTGGATGCATTTCTTTCAATTATCATTTTAGTAAAATATGCTCTCATGTAAAAGCAAATTAAAATTCCTTGATAGCATTATCCAGTTTTGCACCCACCAAGTGGATTCTTGTCACTATAAATAAAAAGTACTGACTTGTGTAAGAAAGAATCCTCTAACGTGGCTCCTATTAGATGGAAAACTGAGCCTAAAACAGTAATTTTAACATTCCCGCCTGCACTATAACTCGAAGTAATTTATTCTGTGCATTTACCCAGGAAGCTTTTGCTGAAATAAATAGTAGAGTCTGGGTTTCAAGCACACAACCTGACCTGAAATACAGTATGTTCTCTACACTTCCCTGACATGTCAGTCTCCTTGGAGTTATACGTCCTCTAGAAGTATTCTGATTATCTGTCAATGTGCAGAAGTCACAGGAAAGCACACACAAATAGGCATTAATTACTGGTACTCTTAAGCTATAAGAATTAAAAAACATAAACAGCTCTTGGTGGCCAAAATGTCATCCATTAGAATGTTGAAAGAGAAAGAGAGAGTGAGAGAAAGAGAGAGAGAGTGAGTTTTTTCTTGGGCCAAAGTCCCCTTCCAGGCAGGGCAGCCAAAATGGAATTTTCTGGAATATTTTATCTGTTCTCATTGATTAAAATGTGTGATACCTGAGATCCTAGGTAACTTAAGTCTTCCATGTGTTGGATTGACTAACTCTCAGGTAATAATTAATGAGGAAGTCTCGAATTTTTCAGAATTAACTTCACACAATGTTTCTAACATATTGGGTAAAACAGATCTGTACACTATGTGTAAGCATAGTGTAGTAGAAATGCCTTATTAATTGTGAAAAGTGATAGATAAAGTGAATTTTTTACCTTGTTTGTCTTTAATCACACACATGTACAGAAATTTGTTGGGATTGTTGATTTGGTAATATTCCCAATGCCAGACTTCTTTGGGGTGCACCAATTTGTAGCAGTGGCTTCCTACCACTCTAATCAGATCTGCCTGGATTTCTTTCTGCTGATATTCCTCTTACTTTCATTATTCATCTGGTCTCTTATTCTGTGTTTGTCTTTGTCTATTTCCTTCACAGCCCTGTTATTGAATGAGCTTGGTAAGCATTTCATTTCTTGCATTTCCTTTCCATTTTTCTAGGTTATTTTCCATTTCTGTTAGGTGATATTGTAGCTCTCTGATATTTATCTATTGATTTGCTAGAAAGATCATTGCTTAGGGCCATTTACCCCATTTTTATTAAGGTCAAATAGTATAGTTTATATTACATTTTTAATTTAGTACAACCATTTTAAAAAATCAATGATTTCCTAGGTGTGCACACAAATTAAGTTTGTGCATTAAACTTCAGAATCTTAAAAGAATGATTTGCGATTCAATCATGAATGGATGGTTTCATACATATCTTCTTAACTGTAAATAGAATTTTGGCAAGCATTTTTACTTTGGGTGGGTTGTCAGGCAGTTGGATTTCACTATTGTTACTTAGAGTATTAGATTTTAACATTTATTTTTTTTTTCTCTTTTAGGTGGCTTCACAATAACAGGTATGAATTTTGAAAGTCTAATCCTATCCAATTTTATTTTTCTGCCTTTTCCTCAATATATTAATTTTTAAAAATAATTTCATTTTCATTTGCTTTTAATAAAGGAAAATATCTGTATGGTAAGATAATTTAAAAATATTTCTTACTTTTCCCCCAAACACCCTTAAAAACAAATTGAATTCACATCTTATGTAACCTGCATTAACCTGTAACTGTGGCACATGGTGTGCTCTTGCTAGTTTTATACACTTAACATTTTTCAAATTAATAACATGTGTGTGTTGTGTTTGTAAGAAAATTCCTACAGAGAATCTGTGATTGTTTATTTTGACACTGGTCAATTTGCAGATATTCACATAGCACTGATGATGTGCAGCATACCCTGATAGATGCTGCAAGAATACCAAAATAATAAAATAAAACAATTGCTGGCCTTAAATAAACATAGGATTTGATATTCAAGACTATTAAGTGGCATAAGCTCAGGGTACTCATAATAGATAATGCCAAGTTCAGAGAAAACAGAACAGCCCCTACCACTCATTCTATCAAGCCGTTCTGAGCTCCTCTTTGGGGACTTAGGACTTAGTATTAACAACATGGTAATGAGTAATATTAGAAGTGCATTATAAAGTACCTTATAAAATCTGAGAATGTTTTAAACCTTTAAATCCAAAATCATATCACCCTGTGTTGATAGCATTTTAAGGACTTATTTATTTGAAAATCAGAGAGTGGGAGAGACACAGAGAGAGAGATTTCCCATCTAATAGTTCACTCCCCAAATGGATGTAATGGCCAGAGCTGCACCAGGCTGAAGTGAGGAGCCAGGAACTTCATTTGGGTCTCCCTTGTGAATGCAGGAGCTCAAGCGCTTTTGGTCATCTGCTGCTGCTTTCTCGGGCACATTAGCAGGGAGCTGTAGCAGAAGTGGAGCAGTTGGGACTTGAATTGGCACCCATATTGGATGCCAGCACTGCAGACTGCCGCTTATCCCATTACAGCACAGCACCAGCCCCCTGTTAATTGTTATTATTTAGCACAACTCTAAATCTATTTTCTTCTGTACAAACGAAAGACATTACCTTGCAGCATGCTCTGTTGACCTTAAAATATTCTTACCCTTTCAGAGTTGTCTGTGCCAGATTCAAAGAGGAAGACAAATATCAAACAGTAGCTCTTATTTGTCCAGAGCTGCAGGTTGAAGATGTCTCTAATGGCCTACATCCCATATCCTAAATGGCATTTCCCAATATATTGTATAAATATCAAAAATCTGTAATGTATTCTGCAGATATCAAAATTTTTAAATCATATTGCTGAACAAAAATGTCTAGAAGGAAATATTTCCAAAATTACTAATAATGAAAATACTAAGGTAAGAATTGGGTTGTATTAGTGGAAATTCATGAACAAACAGTTCTAACATGATTCAGTTCAAAATGGAACATTCTATATATGGGAAATTTCACATGGACTGTTGCTCCCTACTGTTTCTCTCTGGACACAGCATTTAATGACAAAATGATTCATAGACACTTAGAGACACAGATATTGAAAAGGATAAAAGTGTGAAATAGGACAAGTCCTCATACAGGATTTCTTAAATCTGGTTTAACTGAAGCTCTCCCAGTCATATTTCCTATCTGCACCACTGAAGGTTATTTTTTTAATCCAAGTGCAGAAATTTTATTTTTTAAATTTTTTCTCACCCTGTCATTGTAACAAATTTTAGTCATCTTAGAAATATTCTGATACTTTCGCCCAAAAATAAATTAATTATCCTTGAGAGGTTTGAAGAAGGTAGAAATTTGGCAAACCAGCCTTCATAACATTATTGAAGTAATTATGATTTTTAAGTCAACCATTATAGAAATAGTGACTTATTCAGCAGCACCATCAATCTCATGCAGCCTGGTAATGAGATCTTAACTAAAAATATGTTGTTTGGCTATAGAATATACAGTTAAATGCATTCATGTGTATAGATATTTTCCTATTTTCTTTATCATAGAATACATCAGGATTTTATTGTTAGGGCTTTCTTCCTATGCCACTTGAATCATCTTCCCTTTCAATATCTCAGGTAATGAGATCCTAATTTTCTTTTCTTAGAAATTTGTCACACCAAGTTCTGTAATATCTGCCCAGTAAAATCCTACATTTCCTACCTTGGCCACATCTTACATTCAGGATGACAGAGTCACTTCTTCCAAAGGTTGCTATCATCTGATCATTAAGTTCTTCCTTGTGACTGAAACTTTATTATGAAATCATAGTTTCTCTATTATCGCTTTCTCCCAAGACTTGAAATGGATGCAGTTGGAACAAAAGAATGTTCCAGAACATTCTAGTAATTTCTACATTGGGCTGGCCATTCCTGCTTTCCTAGAAAAGGGTCACCTTACACGACTCTTCCTGACTCATGCCATAATGTCCTGGATCCACTCTACTGATGCCCTTGAGGAAGGTTCTAAAACATAGTTCTCCCCAGTGAAAAGCTGCTTTAAGCACTGCAGAGGTTTTCTTTGAAGTTACTTTGAGGCTTTGAAGTAAAGACTTTTGAGTTGTAGAGGCAATAGAGAAGAATCTATCTGGCCCTTAGACTTTATGACCAATTTTGTGTGGACTTGGGCAGCTGAGACTATACCTAAATTTGAAGCAGGATATATGAAAATTGAAAGAAGTCATGTGGCCCACAGCCTAATACCAGTATTTCAGAGATCTCATTAGTGATGGACATTCAGTACATGGAGGTGCTTTTGGATTTTACAAATCTTTACGTGTTGTTCCTGGACCTTGCCTCACTGAAAAACTCTTATTTGGACTTTATGATCTCATCTCCCCTTGAACTTCCTGTCATATGAAATGAAAACACCCTATTATGATAGCTCATTAGAGTCCATAAAACATTTCTTATCCATTATATCATTTGCTCATAAATCTTATGGAATAATATTTTGTTGTTCTCACTTATAGGGGAGGGAATGAAGGTTCCAAGAAATTGATTGGTGTACTCCAAAGCACCTATCCAAGACACAGAGCCAGATCCTCTGGTTTTATATTCAAGACTGTTTGACGCCTTTTCTCACCCTATCACTGTTCTAGTTTCCACCCCCATTTTTCCTACATACTTTTTAAAATTTCACAATGAAAACCTTTTCAATCTGAAGTCTAGCTGTGTCTTCTTAATACTATCATTGTGAATTCCAGTCACATGAAAAATTAGAGGAACCCCACATGCAGCAAGCTAGCAAACATATATATGGATTTTTAAAAAGTAAGTATTTTGGCTCAATATGGAGAGGAAAGGATGTTTGATTCCCAGAACATCTAAGGTATATAGCTATAGGATTCCCTTAAAACTCTATAGCAGTTAATATTCCTGTTTAATATTACTCCTCTAATTATATTATACTCATCATCATAAGAAGGCATTTACATGCCTTTTGAAAGGAAGCCAAACAGTGAAAATAACACTTTCATCACTCCATAAGTTAGAGGTACAAAGCCCTTTCAACTATAATTCATTTTACAATTGAGAAATTTAGTCTCAAGAGAAGAATGTCTTTCCCAGGATTGGATGGCAAGCATATGGCAAAGTTGGCACTGACTCCCAGTCTCATGATTCCCAGGTCAGTTCTGGGTAGCTCTTGGTCAAAGAAAACAGCAGGTGGATCTGGAAGTCATTTGAAACAGGAATTCAATGAAAACCCCACACCTGGTTAATCCAAACAGTTGCTGTGATGAGTTCTCCTTGCAAAACTTGCAAATATATAAAACATTTTCCTATTCAGACTTCTCAGGAAATAAATGTAGTAAGCATGTTCCCAGATGCTTTGTTACTTGACCTTTAAACAAACCTGTGATGTAGACAGTGTGGGTACTGTTATCCACGTTTTACACATGGGAAAACTGGAGAAATAGCCTACTCAAGCTATACTGTTAGCACTAATAGACTTCAAAACCAGGACACTGACATTATACCAAGTTCTTTCTGTTGTACCATGATTCCTATGGGAGCAGTAACTTGAGGGATCTGGGTGCTCTATTGCAAACACCTGCAGGGATGCAGATGTCTCTCTTACTTTGCAGCATGTGATTCATTCATATAATCTGGTTTTACTCATGGAATGCTTACCCAATCTGTGGGCAGTGATCTGCATCAGTCTACCCCACCAAAACCCTGTTTTTGACACAAAAGTGTGATTTGTGATCATTAGTCCTCTTACTAACATTGCTTGCAATGTGTGCATCTGGTGTGATGTTAAGCTTACTAATTCCACAAGATATGACAGAAAAACAATGCAATCCATTCTGCTGATTTCCCACCTGTCCTTTTGCTAGGCCAGCCTGTCTTGAGGAAAGTCCATGCTAGAGACCATCCTGTTCCCTCTACTGTAATCACCATTGCAGGTATTCATTTTGTCAAAGTCATTGAAAACCAGCCTTCAAGTGTTATGTCTTTTGACATTAAATTCATGTTAGCCTTTACTTTCTCTAAAATATGGCTAAGGAATGCAGTGGCTTCTCTGGCAGCTGAGGTTCCAATGGGTTAGCAACAAAATACAACCACAGCAGAGCAGAACAGGAGGCACTGGGAATGGGGGCCAACTTACAGAGAAGATCGATCCAATGACCACTCCCTCTCAAGTTCCCATATATTCCACATTTCTTGCTAATAACTCTTACTCAAGAGTCTCTCATTCCTAGTGTAGTGAAGATCCTTAAATTCTGAGCTCTATTTCTTCCCAGAGACCTTCTTTTTGCCTCCAGGTAAGATGATGTTATCCAGATAATGCACATTTATACATCTGTAAGATTTCTCCATAGGGGAAAAGAAAATTGACAGAGTGGTCAGAGGGTTACACAAGTACCCAAGGTCTACTATAGATTCAGAGCCTGGATGTCATCTACTCTCACTAAGTCTTTGTATGAGGACAGGGATATTTACCCTGCAATCATCATCATTGTCCATCACTGACCATGGCAGTAGAAAC